ATGGAAAATGACCTTTCCTGTCATTTAGGCATCTCTTGTGCTTCGACTTGCAGCATGTTGCATTTTGCCAGTGCATATGTTCTCATTTTCTTGAAGGAAGCACTTGTCTTTTCATGTCAGCTTTCAAGATCCATGACTTCAAGCAACGCTTCGGCTTGAGCAGAAGCTCTGAAGAAAGAATTTCCAGTTTGCGCCTTACCTGCCGAATCTCTTCGTGCAGGGCGGCAGGAGCGCCCAGCTGTGGAGCCAATGGCCCTTGTGCCCCAAGGAGCTTTCATTGTGATGCCCCTGGCATTCCAAGGGGCAAGGTGCGCAGCCTTTGTCACTGCGCGAGGTGAGCCCTGGGCGAAGCCGAAGTCCCATCACGCCCAGACGTCGAGTCGAACCAGATGCTGACAGAGATGATCGTGGACCTTCCCGTGATGCACGCAGCTCAGATTACCAACGTGAGCCTGACCACAGAGCCCCTGCTGAACCCTGGTCGCATCATTGCCGAGAAGAACATGAGTGGCAAAGCAGTCACAATTGGTCTTAGCATGGGTGGCAAGGATGGCAAGAATGGCATGACAACCATCAACGTTGGAGCCAGGATGATCGAGATTGGCGAAACCAAAGTGATTGGCGCCGTCAAGAGTGGCAACCACGCAAAGGTCCCAACAAAGGCCGTGGTCGTGGCAAGACGTGGAAAAGGACAAAGCAATTGGAGGCAACAACTCCATCGTGATGACCGCAAAGATGCACCTGATGCAGATCAATCTTGGAGCAAGTGGGTTGCGCGCAACGAGCCTCCGTCGATTGACGACGGCCCTCGCCAAGCTACAGCAACAGCAACCAACTCGGCTGCTCCTGCAACACCACCGTCGCAGAACCCAACGATGACTCAACTCAGACATCTGGGCCGAAGCAATTTACAATGCCCAGTCCGACCCTGACCAAGTTCTGGCAGTCAATGAAGCTTGGGCCGCAGGAAATTGTGCAGGTCCCGATCCCGTCAGACAATGCCGTTGAGATGACTGAGGATGCAGCAATTACCTTGCATCCATCCTTGCAAGAGCTACCAAAAAGCATTCGTCGCAAGCTCTTTCGTGCCCTCACTGTGGCAGATGTCGAGCCCGATGAAAGCAAAGAAATTCTCGAGTGTTGGCTGGAAAGCTGCCTACATCCCCTCAAGTTGCAGACACACGCATTTGCCGAGCAGTGGCTTCTTCACCGCACCCAAGCCCTCAACCACCTGCGTGCGAAAGGCCATGGCTATCCCAAAGGGACAGCAAGGACCCATCATCCCACGCCAAGCTGTCACGCCACTCCCACCGTCGATCATCTCGGGTGGAGGAAACTGGCGCCTTCATGCAGCATGTAGAGCAGCTGGTGCTGCTAGATCCCCTAAGGCCTACTGCATCAAGAGTTGCTATGCAAAGGTTCTTGGCTGTTGTCCTGCCATTCTAAATTCTGTTTCAGCCGACTGCTGCGAGTGATGAAACAGCAACAAGTGCACGAGTGTTACACTGATCGCTTTGATGCTCAGAGTGCTCATGGTCCAGCTCATGTCTGCGTGGTGCTGCTTGAGAATATACTTGATCAATGTCACGCTTCTAAAGCAGGTTTCGTGTCTATGCTCCAATAGTGCCAGTGGATGCATGTCACCCTGTTCTGTGAATGCATACATGCCGCTGCCATTTGCATCGTGGAGCGTCAGTACATGCACACTGATTACATTGTTGACCAACCCTGCTGCCTTGTATATGGACGAATCGTCATCCTCTTTGGTAGCATCGAGCTCAGAGAGTGCTGAGTGGTGGCAGCGTGTGCCCCAAGCCCGTTTGCAAGTGGTCAGAATTCTGCTCCGAGATTTTCATTTGCAGAGCTTGTTCAGAAACATACATCAAGAGCCCAACCTGCACACCTACGTCCTTGAACCCGACCTCCTCAACGTTCTCCTCAGCCAAACTGAAGGTTCAAGAATTTTGGTTCTTCTTCTCGTTCGGTCTGTTCAGCCAGCTGGAGTAACACGTGCCTGAGGCATCTTCTTGCACGTCATGCCTAGAGAAATGACAGATGAGGAGATTGCTGAACGATCCTGGAGAGTGCCAGTGTGGGAAATGAACTTCACCATCCTCCAGCACTTGAGACAGATCGCATATCTTCGAGAGAGATTTGATGCTTTAGAGCGGTGTCACGACCGAATGCAGCAGCAGTACATGCATGTCGTTGATCTTCATGCACGTGTTCTAAGTGAGTGTGAGCAACTTTGGCAAACATGTCTTATTCTTCAGTTTCACCTCAATAGCACTATGCTCCACACATCAGCACCAGCTGGGGAATCAGTGCCGTCAGGATGGCGTGACAGAGAAGAAAGCGAGCCGACGGAAGCATGCTTTGGCGTTTTTGATGAGCCAAATCAGCGTGCCGAAGTGGCAGCGCATTGTGAAGAGGCCGAAGTGGCTACAAACAGCACCCGACCCGACCCCACCACAGAAGTTGTGGTCTCCCGCGCCGAAGTGGCAGATAACATCGAATTTGCCAAAGTGGCTCCCACTGCTGTGGGTCCCCCCAACACGCCATGGTGCTGAAAGGTCAGGAGTATGAGCGTGCACTTACGGGTGCCTTGACCCGTTGTGCCAAGAAACCAAAACTCTGCCAGCCTTGGGAGAGTGATTTGATGTCAGATATTTTCAGTGATCAGCCCAGCTTTGATTGGGCTGCTACCCCATCAGCAAGCCTGGTGGACATTGTCAGCAGTGACAAGCCTGAGATGTGCGCCCCAGGAGAAACCATTAATGCTATTCTCCTCCAGCACAGAGCTCCAATTGAGAGTTGTGCCTCTCTTCTTCGGGCCAGACCCGACCAGTCTTTCCCTCAGCAAGATTCTTCCAGGAAAACTAGGGTGACTATGTGGATGGAAACTGTCATGCCATACTGGAGACATTTCCAAGTCACCCGAAGCATAGTGTCTGGCATGTCAGACACTGAGCCCACAGTGCAGCAAGTGCTTGAGACTCTGGAAGCGACCTTTGGTCGCAAATCGGCGAGCACATTGTATTCTCGTGCTCTCGGTGTTCACCGATATCTGCATTGGTGCCTCACACACGGTGTGCAACCTTTTCCCATGGTTGAACGCATTGTCTGGAGCTATGTTTCTGAGCTCGCAACCCTCCATCAACTTCATGCGTTTCACCATCACCCCGGATGGGTCCCCAGAAGTTGCTACGAGTGCACGAATCTCAGGCAAAGCAGTGCTGGCCCTTGCTGGCAAACGTCCTGTGAAAAGGGCCCCGGCTCTAACAGTCAAGATGGTTCGTGCACTTCATCGTGCCCTTGAGGACAAGAGACGACATGTGTATGATAGGTTGTGTGCGGGAACTTTCCTCATTGCTGTGTATGGTCGATGCAGATGGAGTGATCTCCGTCACATCCAGGAGATAATTCTCGATATCTCAGATGACAAGGCTCGAGCACAGAGCTGTCCCGCGCCCTCGGGACCCCTGTAGGTCCGGCAGCAGGGCTTTTGGACGAACCACTGGGTTTTCACTTTCACACACTTCGCATATTAGCGCCATCCTCTTGGGTTGGTAGCACAGTGCGTCATACTAACGTTGTATTTTGGTTTTGCGCCAGCTCTCGTTTTGCATGTTGTTCATCTCTTGGTAACACTTGGGTTACGGCACACTTTTGGTGACCCCAACCATGGCAGAAGATTCCTCCGCGCAAGCGGCAGCAATGGAAGCGCCCGCGTTCGCTCCTGCAGAGACTGCGCCTCCTATGCCTAAGGCGGCACCGCCGGAGCTCCTTTCCACCTTGGCAGCATCTAACCCCGTAGAGCACATGATTGGCCCCCAACTCAAGATAGTGGCTCACCCGGATGGTACTTACGCTATGGTCACTGGCGACCTGAATACTCCCATCCCGAAAGCACAGTTTGAGGCTCTCCTGGCACAGAAGAACTCCCTCTCCACGATATCAAACATGACAGGTATCCAACATGATAGAGTACGGCAACACACCTCTTCTAGTGTCAAAAATGAAGAAGATGATGACGAGCCCATTTCATGGGGTGATATGGATCCTCAGCTCTCCAATCTCTTGCGTAGTGACCCCGAAGCCCTTAGAGCCTTCAAGGCCCGACGTAAGCCCCAGAAGCAGGCACGATTAGATGCTGCCTCTTCCACGTTTCCACCTTCGACCATCAGCCCCACAGTAGATCAGGCTCCCCTTGCGCTAGCTAGTGAGTTTCCTCCAGTTACCCCCGGACAACCTCAAAGAAGTTCTAGAGCGATATCACACCGAGCATGTTATGCCAGCGATTCAACAGGTAGCCAGCGAGGCCAACTCCAGCTTGAATGAAAAGGCTTTCCCCTGAAAATGAAGCTGCACTATGACCCAAAGGAAGGCAACCAAAAGTTCGTGATACCCCTGCTCTACCAATAGGAGCGACATAGCTTCGAGGCTATTGCCCTTGTTGTTCCAATGCCGACCATCAGCAGAGGAGTACCACTGCGCTAACTTATCCCCAGGATGAGAATTGATGAGAATCTGGTCATAGATTTGGACTAGGGCATCATTGGGAACCTGTAACAATTGGGACTGCGTAGTCTGAAGTTTGAGTAAGGAGGTGAGTTGCCAATAATACAGATCTAGGAAACACGAGCCAGCATTGGAGGCCTGCTTAAGGTTGGCGTTTGTGAAAGGAGCTTCTCCTACGAAAATACTAAGGCGAACCTCGTCTACTATAATCACTTGGTACATGTAACGGCCTAGCTGTCTGAGGTACGTGTCGTCTGTACGATACAGGATGGATTTAGCAATACTTTCAAATACGCGGTAACTCCACGACTCTACCATAGAAGAGTTTCTAATGGCTAGACGGTAACTAGCACGTACGAGGGCATCCCAGGGGAGGAGCTCTAGGGTGACCAATTTGGAAGAGTCGGTCTGGAGTCCAGGGTCTAAGGTGTTTAAATCGTCTAAGGAAGGAAGACCAAAGGACAAAGGGATATCCTCGACTAACGGAAGTAAAGCTGGTAACGAAAGTGAAAGTAGCCAACTGAAGTGCTGAACATTGCAACCTTCAACGCTGTAACCCAAGGCGTGCAGGTCAACGTTAGGGGAGGTAAAGAACTTCTGGTTGGGGGGGAAGTACTGAGGTGTACCACCCGGGCGAGGCAAAGCAGCTAGTTGGTCTGCTACACTAAGGGGGGCCAATACTTCAGTCATGAGGACTTGAAAGCACTCGGGGAGATCTACGGTAGGGGGATGGTACTGTCCTGTAAGGATGCCTTGGAGGGCTTCATCAAAGACTTGAGGCTCATCTTCAAACACTGATAAAATGGCCTTTTCATAACCAAGGACAACAGTCCTATGGATAGGATTCAACCTATGAGTCTGACCTTCATGGAAATCTCTGGCCCAATCTTTCCATGTGCGACAGCATACACATGTGGGATTAGTACCGTACGGCTGCTCACAGCAACGGTGGTCGGGCTGCTCATGAAAACACAGGAACGAGTCAATGTGAAAACTATGGTATTTCGGAACGTCCCTAACATTGAGGAGATGCAATACCGCATTATAGTTATCAAGTCCTGGGTCACCAAGACAGAAGGAGCATTCCAGGTTAAAACCAAAAAGGTTACTACAAGAACTACAAGGAACGAGAACATTGTCCAAGCTGCGCTGAGGTCGCGAGTCTTGTCGGTTGCCTTGCTGCTGGGTGTTCTGGTACACTGTTTGGGGAGGGTTCTGCCAATAGTTCTGGTCCCATCTACCTTGGGGAGCGGTATGCTTCTGATCATCAGGCCTAAAGTAAGTGCCTCGGGAATCCTGTCCCCTATCGTAAGTTTGTTGGGGCTTTCGGCCCCAAGTTGCAGGTGGACGAGACGATCTGGAATCGTGGGAGTCATTTTGGTCCTGCTCATTCCACCAATTGGAGCGACCACCTTTGCCCTGTCGAGGGGAGGCGTCCCTATCTCGATCTTTGTACTTAGACTTGCCTTTACCTTTTCCTTTATTCCTGGGCTCTAGGCCTTTACCGTATTGGAGAGGATCGATGCTAGCATCTTCCAAAGCCTGTTGCACTATCGAGGGGAGTCCACCCATACCCCGAAGGAGGGAGCCAGGGTCGCGGGAGAGCTGGGTCTGAAGTTCAGGGGTGAGTTCCTCCGGGTAGATATCATAGGGGAAAAGTCGAACGGCTTCTTCACCAGAGAAGTTGCTAAGGTCTTGGAGCTGTCTGTAGTCATAACGCAAGTTCGTGGTTGAAAACTGTGCTGCACTATTGTAAGCCTGCTGATACTTTAGAGTGTCAACCATGCGCTGTTTAAAAACCTGACCAAAGTTCTCGAGAATGTGAGTCTTATGGTTGGGGAGAACAAAAAACTTGCAGACCTCGCCAACAAAAATGACTTGCGCAAGGAGGATGCCCTGAAATCCCGCCTGGGGGTCCTCAGGGGACCATAGCTGAAGGGAGTTCCAATCCGGGCGCAAATACTCTTGATAAATAGGAGTGGCTTCGCCATTGGGGGGTAGTTCGGTCAAACACTTAGTGATGGCCATCAAGGGCTGTCGCTCCAAACGCTCGCGGAGTGACATGTCACGCTCTATTTTCATGTGGGAGTCACGGCCACCATCATCGGGCCTGAAATATCGCTTGCCGTTGCGGAATGCACGGTAGAAGGAGCGGGAGTCTTGCTCCGTAATGAAAATGAGTTTCAGAAATCCTGCCGCAGTGGTCAAAAGGTGGTTTGTAACCGATTGGATACTACCGAAAGTAAGCTCTGCTACCGTAAGCAAATACTGCAAGTTGTTGTCAATGGCCTTTCGGTTAGAGAAAGGGGGGATACCGTGTATGATCAACGTTCTTCGATGCAAATCTGACTCGGAGGCGATGCCCGAGAAGTGCTGAAGGGTGAGTCGCTTCGATACCGTTTGGAGCCATCATTGGTTGGACCCCCATGTCATCTGACTATCCTTCTGCCCAAGGCAGATTCCGCTGAGCTCCTCGCTCTGGCACTCCTCCTGTGAGTTATGGCCACCAACGGCCTTAGTGCCGGCCACCCACTTTCGATATGGCCCTTTGAGGCACAACTTACGCTATGACCACTCAAGTTATGTGCACTTAAAATATGTGAGCCCGCAAGGGCAGTGGACGTTATCCGTCTCGCCCAATAAGTCAGTGAGAGCAGTGAGACCGCGGTTTCACTCGGCGCAGTTGGTTTTTCAGAGTGTTTGCTTTAAGCGTGTTGCTTTCGGCGTTTTCCTCCGCGCTACTTCAGGAGTAGTCTTTTTCACCCGCAGTGTGTCCTACGCTTGCCTGCAACGAATGAAGGGATTTTCAGGGTTCACGGGTTTAGGCAACAAGCTCATGCACGCTCTTTTTGGCAATTATATCTGGTACCCCAGTCGTACCCCTCCCCCCCGTACTTACCTGTGGGCTCAGTCCTTTTATATCCCTAATGGTATGACCGTCTTCCGTTACTCGTTCTATGGAAAAAATTCCCTTTGGTTACACGCGCATCGTAGAGGTAGCAGTTTTGAGATCGAGACTACTCGGCGCGACTCCCCCACTTTATACGGGGCAGTCAAGAGAGCGGTGGCCTCCAAGGGAGGCGGGCCGGGCAGCCGCTGGCATCTCTACTCACATTATGACAAGCTCCTGACACCAACTTACGCTATGACTGACACTTACGATAAGCAACACTTGTGCAATGTACGGGCTACTACGCGGCCAGGCGGCGACCAACACCGTGTTGCTCACGGGGGCACTCCTCAAGGGCGGGGTCAGCGTTCCGACGCGGCTCTGCTAAGGCGACAGCAAAAGCGGTCGACCACGCGCTGTCAAGCGCGTAGAGATTATCGTAGTTGGAAGTCCCAATGCAAGGATTCCACCCTGCGGGTTCACGGTGGGCAAAATCCTTTACCCCCGATCTACCCAAAGCCAACTAGCCTGAAAAGACTCCAATGCCATATAACACAATCACAATCGCAGTCACAATCCACTAGACACCTTCTTCATCAATCTAGAGATGCCTCCTCTCCCCTCTCACTTCCGTTACCCACGGGCACTCACCTTACTCTTGCCTCTTGGAACATTGAAGGCCTTAAAGAGGTGGCGAAATATGATGCTATATTACATTTCTGCCAGTCCCTTCAAATTTCTCTCCTGTGTGTCCGGGAAACAAAAGCCGAGTCGGCCCATTCCTTTACTAAGTCAGGTTGGGAAATTTTGCATTCTGGTACCCCGCACGATAAACACCATGGAGTTGGTTTTTTCGTCTCTCCCAAACTTCGAGCCCACATCACGGGTTTTATCCCACACTCTGCTCGAGTTTGCGAACTTAAATTAAACGTTTTACCACACCCACTAACGATAATTAATGTTTATGCACCGAGTATGACCCAGGATGCAGAAGAGGATAGAACACGCAAGGCCCAATTCTGGGCTGACCTGGAATCTTTGCTCCTGGAAAAACCCGACCTCAGTCATACTTTTTTGGTTGGTGATTTTAATTCTCGACTTGATGTACATCTCGATCCTGATTCTAATCGAATCGGTCCCTTCGTTGTTGGTCAGAGGCAATCTCTTCAGGAAGACGACCGAGATAACGCTCTGTTCCTGTTCCAATTCCTGGAAATGTTCGATCTATATTTGCCTCAAACTTTCTCTCCACTCCCCTTCTCACGGCGAGCGACGTACAAGGAAATGACCTGCGAGGACCACCTGCTCCACACCGAGGACGTCAAGCAGTGGACGGCGCTCGATTTTTTGGTCCTGCCTTCCGCTCTCTCCTCCTCTGTAACTTTTACGGGGTCTCACTTTCAACAGGCAGTTAATACCCGCCACCTTCCGCTTACTTTTACAGTACGTACTCACCGTCTTCCCCCGCCGGTGCCGGCCGAGGCTCCGAAGCGGGACTTCACCCAACTGGGAGCCTTCTATGATGCCGTGGAGACGCAAGTACTGTCTCTCACAGGTAACCATATGACGCCGCCAATCAATTCGGACCCCTCTTTTTTTGTTGTCGCATACACCGATGGCTCTTGTCCGAACAACCGCTGTGTCTCTTACGATAACCCCGCAGGATGGGGATTCGCAATTACCGTCCATTCCGCGGACGTGCGCCCGCCCTTGGCCTCCACTTGGGTAGTGTCTTATGGTTCGGTTCGAGCCAACCCACTCTCAGGCCATGACCTCGTTGTGGGCTCCAATAATACAGGAGAGCTCAAAGGTCTCATTGAACTCTTTGACTACTTATTGCATTATACCAGTTACGCTATCGGCGCCTCCATCATTATCTATACTGATTCCCAATATGCAGCAGATTTACTCCGCGGCAGCTCCGTCCCAAACTCACACCCCCAATTGGTTGCTCTCTCCCAAAAATATTTTACTGCTCTCCGTACGCAGTATAACGTCGCCCTACGCAAAATACCCTCTCATAAGGGTATCACGGGTAATGAGATAGCCGACGTTGCGGCCAATAAAGGCGTGTATTCTCATTCCTCTATAGGAAGATTCTCCACTTATCCCACTTCAGGACTATCGCCGCCGGACTTATTCTACAACGCAGAAGAATGGTCCCAGCGCTCCGTCACCGAGCAAGACGCGGTTATCACTAAAATATTTAAGGATGCCCTTCCTCTTGTCCCGGAAATCCCCCTCTCCGCTAAAAAGCCCTGGATATCAGCTGCTACACTCTCCCTCATTGCCGAAACCCAAGCAAGCACCTATACCGACCTCCAGGCTCTCAAAGCAAGGCGTAAACTCATCAAAAAATCCGCGCGACAGGACAAGAAACGCTTCATCGCCCAGAATCTCTCAGAGGATTTCCACGGCGCGAACATCCACCAATGGAGATACACACGCCAACTTAAGTCTGAATTTAAGCCCCGTGCCACGGGTCTCTTTAATCTTAAGGATTCCTTAGTATCCAAGGATAAGCGTGCGTCCACCTTTGCGGAATATCTTTCCACCAAAATATGGTTCTCGTCAGAGGACCCTGCCCTCCCGCTTCCAGATACTTCATGCACAGACCCCTCTATGGATTGCCCTTTCACCATGGCGGACTTGGACGCCGCTCTCCGACGTTTAAAGCCGGGTAAGTCGCCGGGCCCTAATGAAATACCTGGCGAATTATACAAACATGCTCCTTATATTCTAAAACTTTTTCTCCTTGACCATTATAGCCAATGCTTTGAAACTAGGGAAGTACCTGCTACCTGGTTATTTTCGGAAGTTGTTATGTTGGTCAAGGACCACAAAAAGGATACTCGTCTCCTCTCTAATTTTCGTCCCATTTCCCTCACTAACATATCTTACAAAATCTTTGCCTCTATGCTTCAACATCGTCTTGAGCTCTTCTTTGATGACAAAATCCGCCCTACCCAGTTTGGTTTTCGTAAACATCGCTCTACATCTCAACCGATCCACATAATCCGTCGACTTATTGAAATCTTTGAAAGGCAAACTACTTCTTTTCATGCCTTGTTCCTCGATTGGTCTAAAGCCTTTGACTCGGTCACTTTCACTGCTATTCAGGCCGCCCTGGCACATTTAGGCGTCTCCACTCATTTGCAGTCAGTCATCATGTCTCTTTACTCTTCTCCTCGCTTCCTGGTCCGCGATTCCAACATTAAATCTTCTGAACAGGTGCAAACCAAAGGCTTACGTCAAGGATGTCCTCTCTCCCCTTATCTATTTAGCTTCGTGCTGACCCATCTGTTTGATGAAGTCGAAAGCCAATATGAGACTCGCTTCGGCCACATTGCTGGTGTGTTTCAACTCCCCAGCCCACTCTGGGATTTAGAGTATGCTGATGATACTGTCTTGCTCTCTACTTCGGCAGATGCCCTTAACCGTTTGTTGCATCTAATTCAGTACGAGGGATGCCGCAGAGGCCTCCTCCTGAACCTCGATAAGTGTGAGCACCTTAGAATGAATTCTGACCGTCGCCTCCATTACTCGCCCGCCCCCGTAGAACTATGCTCTTGCTCCCTATGTTCAGGCCTGACCGCGCCCGGTCCTACCATTAAGTTGGTAGAAGAGGTTAAGTACCTTGGTGCTTACCTGGACGATAAAAGCAACCAAGGGAAACACTTACGTTATCGTATTTCTCAAGCTATATCTGCAGCTAAGAAGCTAAAACCCCTTATGACACATTCTAGTCTTCCACCTTCATGGAAACTTACGGTATATCGGTCGGTCGTGCAGGCCATTCTGCTCTACTCGGTCGAAAGCTTACAGCTTACACCTTCCCAGCTGACGCATTTGGACTCCATTCACTATAAGCAACTTCGCAGAATCTTTAACATTAAGTCCTCCTTCTACCATAGGGTCATCAATCCTACAGAAGCCAAGTGCTCCAATTTATATTTACACCAGCTTGCATTCCGGTGTAAACATGTTCAGCCTCCTTCCCAGGTCTACTCACAGAATCGTCTAAAATTTTTCGGACATCTCCTTCGACATCCAAATTCTTGTGAGTCAGTATCTACCTTTCAAAGTTCAATGGCTTATCGCCGTACATATGGCCCCAACCGAGCAGGTCGCCCAAAACTCCATTGGAGTGAAGCTTGCTTCACGGAGGCATATGACCGTGTCCAACATCTAGCTTCAGACTCTGCCCCTTCTCATGCAGATATGGAGCACTCCTTTTTTAGTATACCCACTCTCGACCACGTACGCCGCTCCCATTGCTCACGTAATCTAGTGTGTCTTGACAACACTTTGCTTTACCGCGCCGTCCATGCGCAAGCTCATGATAAAGAACGATGGTCCCGCATTATCCATAAACCCCTCAAGAGACACCGGTCCTAACCCCTACGATCCCATTTCCCCGACAGATGCAGAGCTTCTAGGACACTTTGGGGTTTTTTTATGATTAGTCTCCTTTGGGTTTGTGTTGCTTTCTCATAGCAGGCTAGCCGCTTCGTGAAAATTCG